GAAGCTGAGACGTCTAATCTTTCACTAGAAGAGTTAGAAGAAATCAGGAGGATTCATGCAAGCGATACAGCTATTGATAGAGAGAAGGATTCGATTGAGTTGAGGCTTGCAAAACTTTGCCTTGAAAGAAACATACCTTATCTGGGAATTTGCAGAGGATCTCAAGTTCTAAATGTTGCTTCTGGGGGTACCCTTTATCAGGACATTGAAAAGGAGGTTTCAAAGAAGATTAGGGAGTCTCAAAGAGTGAAACACATGGATTATGATAATTATGATGGGCATAGACATGTGGTTAAGGTGGTAGAGAACACACCTTTGCATGATTGGTTTAGGGATTCTCTGGAAGAAGATAAAATGGAGATTTTGGTTAATAGTTATCACCACCAGGGGGTGAATAGATTAGCACAAAGATTTGTGCCTATGGCGTTCGCACCAGATGGATTGATTGAGGGGTTTTATGATCCTGATGCTTGTAATCCTGAAGAGGGTAAGTTCATAATGGGACTTCAATTCCATCCAGAGCGAATGAGGCAGGATGACACCGACAAGTTTGATTATCCAGGATGCCCAAGGGCCTATCGGGTTTTAAACCCATCCTTTACATACGATCTTTTATGGGAGAATTTGATGAAACAATGCATAATTGATATGTACATGGTATTTTGCAGGAATTTGTCAAGGCTGTGATTGCCTATCAGAAGAAGCTCAACAGCAGTACTACATCTGTGCCAAGGCCTCTCAAGCTAGATCAAGAAATGGAGAAGAAAAGGAAGCATATAATTAGAAGTTTCTTTCTTGCAAGAAACATATACACTGCTGGCCAACGAATGAATCCATCAAAGGAATCAGAACTACAAGCTGGAGCAGAATTCCTAGAGGTATAAACTCTAGATAGAATGATAGAGAGTCCATATTCACTATTCACAAAACTTTTGAACATTGTTTCAGGATCATAGATTTTGTTTTCAGGCTTTTGATCTTGTGTCATTAATGATCATTTTATCCATGCAGTCCAACACAGCTTTGAGCTTGCAACAAGAGAACAGACTCAAGCAGATGGGTGCAACAGTGAGGAATGCAGGTTCCTACATTGAAAGACTGAGGACGAATGAGGAGAGGGAAGATTTGGCAAAAAATGTGATGGGAAATATGTCTGCAGAGCAGTTGTCTGACTTGTTGTCTTTCTACCATATGATGGGACAGATTTGCTCAGAAGTTTTAGATAGAAAGCTGAATGGCATTGTCCATGGCATCGGTTCTTGATAGATGGTTTTTCTTGCTTTCTCGTTGATGTATCATGTTAACAAAATAATAATTTGAAGTCACAGGAAACTTGGGTAAGCAGTTCCTGTTTTTCCCGTATTTGACTTTTGTTGTTTCTTTCACATGTGATTAAAAAGCGTAACATCAATATCTGTGATTAATTGACTGGTTTATAAATCATAGCCACTGCTTTCCTGTGAAAATAGAATTGGAAGAGGAAGGGATTAATTAAAAGAAATTTTCTGCTCAAGAATCTTGACAGTGTTCATACACGCAAATCTGCTCTTAAGGCGTACGAAGCCTCTCCAACGCAGATTTCTCCAGCAACACGCCCTTTATCTCCTTATACTAAAACCATTCAATTCACTTCACTTCACTAGTGAGTCGTTCAGTGTTTATCTGACTTTTCAGCCTCAGAAAAGGCAGCTTATGCATCAATAAATGCATGTCATCCTCGGCGATAATCATGCTGAAGCAAACAAGAAAGAAACAGATGAAGGTAGCAGTCTAGCAGACATGCATTAATTACTTAACTAAATAAAATCTGAATCAGGAGGAAGTGGGGTTGAAATTATTTTTTGCTTGAAAATGTATAAAAATAATTTTTTTATTTTTTAAAAAATCATTTTTAACATTGGTTTTTGATATAAAATCACTAGAAAAACTTAATTAAAAAAGTTTAAATTTTAAGTAAAAAACAAGTGATATCTTCTACAACTTTGGGTTGAATAAATGCACAAGAAGTCTCGAGACAAGAAGTAATGAGCAGCCCAGCACTACAAGAAAGGCCCGGAAATAGTTGGAGCACAAACCATCCATCCAAAAAAAATAAAAAAAATACAAGAATTGTACTAGAGCCCAGCAATAACAAGTAGTAAATCCCAGAAAATAGTTATGATCCAATATCATCAATTCACAAAATCGCTGGATTGGATTTTATAAAAGCCCAAAATCCATATCCGATTATCTACTTAACTGAGATGTCGTGTTAGAACGCACCCAAGTTACTTGAGCCATGGGCAATCTTCTTCTTCCTGTGTGATTTATAGCCATAGATATCAGCTTTGACCTGGTTAAATCAGAGACAAAAAAGAATCCATGACCTAGACAACGACAGCTAAATTACTATATTTAATGACTTTCACAGGTAATGCAATTGTGAAGCATACTAGTCAACAAGTCGTTTTGCATGCCGTGTGCGTCATCATGTTGGACTTTCCCGGCAGATGAGTGAAGAAACGCGTTTTTCTCATCTCCATCGTGGATCGATAAACCACCGGCAAGTCTCAGACTCAGCTTTAAGCTGATATTTGATTTGAAGTTCAGATCTTGACGCTGGGCTCCCACCATGGAAATATTGCACCGCTCCTTTCCCTGCGAAATCCTTGAGAAGTGTTTGATGGGGAGTAGACAATCTGTAAGCATCGAGAAATAGTAAGAACGCGGATTGAAACTTCATCCAAGTAAGATTTATAATTATAATTAAACCAATTAAGACATTATTCATTCGGGTAAACCATGTCAAGATTCAACTAGATTAAAAGGTTAATTTTGAAAAAAAAATAAAAAAATTACTTAAGAGTATGATTTAATCCTAGTACAAGATCAACTAAAAGATTAAGATTAGTTTCGAAGTGTAAAAAAGTTGAGTTTATTAAGGTAATTGATCTGTTAGACCCGAGCCTAGGCCAGGTTAGGTCTTGGGTCGGGTTCAATACCGATTATTTTATAAGAGTTAAAACATAAAAATAAAGACAGACCTCAATAAAGTCTTTAATCTTTGAGATGAGCTTTAATTAGATCCCCAGTCGTTTTTTTTTAAATCTCAGTTAAATCTTCAATATATAAATAAAATCTCAATGATCCATCATTTACTTTTTATCTACGGAATTGTTAAATAATTATATTTTGTAACTCTATTTGTTTTTATATTTTAAAAATAGTTTTTTTAAAAATTATTCATATTTACTTTAAATTAATTTTTTTATATTTTTAAATAATTTTGATATATTAATATCAAAAATAAATTTTAAAAAATTAAAAAAAAATAATTATTTTAATATATTTTTAAATAAAAAATAATCATTACTACAACATCAAATAATTGCAAAGATTAAAATGAATTACCTTTCAAAGTTCCTTCTTCGTTTCTTCTTTCTTTTCTACTTTTGAACATCATCTTTAAGAATTCCAAGTCAAAGTCAAGTGAGGCTTCGTCTCAAATTCAATCACTGAAACCCTATGTCACGCAATCAGTTTCAACCTTCTATTTAATTTAATTTAATTTCTCCACATTTATTTCTTAGTTTACTATCCCAGTGCATACTCAAAGTGCGTTTTTATTTCTCAGAGAAGTCCAATTTGCTGTTCCATCACTGCAAGTTGCAGCATGTGGGATATCACAGTCCAATTTTATAATATAGTACATTTTACTGACATGACCATAGATTTAAAACAAATAATTCAAGTTTACAGGTTTTTTTTTTTTTTTAAGTCCTAAAGATTTTCTCAAATTAACCAAATCTGAAATTAAACCACGACAAAGGATAACTATACCACGCCCAGCCTATGAGGTAGATAAGATTTTTTTTTTAATATAATAAAATATTAAGATGTTGTTAATATTTTTTAATAAAAAAGTTAAATTATAAAAAAATTAATTTAATGTAACTTAATCAACTTGATAAGTATAAAGATAATTTTAATGACTGGTAAAATATAATTTAACTCAAAATAAATATTTAAGATAAGATATTTTTATATATATACTGAGATAACAATATATTAAATCAATTTGGATCAACTAACCAATTTTTTTATCATATCATAAGATTTTAATAACCTTATATAAAATAAATTAAAACAAATTATAAAACTTAATTTTTAATAAGATGAATGTTAAATGATGAAGTTGAAAAAAAAAATCAAAACAATTATTCAACTTAATTCATGTTAACTTGTCAAACTCATGATCAAGATCATGAGATTATCATAACCCAATAAAAATAATTAGAATAAATTACAAAACTTAATTCTCAATCAATTCAGTATTGAAAGATTAATTTTGTTTTTAAATAAATTAAAAAACTTAAAAAATTACTCAAGTTAGTTTGGGTTAGCCTCTCAAACCCGTGATTCTAGTCATGAGATGAAAATAACCTCATAAAATATAAACCGAAACAAATCATAACGCTTAATTCTCAACTAATCTAATCTTGAAGGATGGAATTGATAAAAAAATCAATTAAAACAATTTGAATCAATCGAGTTAACTCATCAAACTTACACTTCATGTCATAAAAATATAATAACTTATAAAAAATAAATTAAAAAAATTATGAAACTTGATTCTCAATAAACTTAATGTCAAAAAACAAAATTAAAATTAAAAAAAAAACTCGAGTCAACCTAAATTAATCTACCAAACATATATTTCAAATTATGATAAACAAATTATAAAATCTAATTTTCAAATCAATCTAATATTAAAAATTAAAAATAAAAATTAATTAAAAATAAAAAATAAATATTATTCAAATAAATAGTATTTTATAAAAAAACAAATATAATAAAATTCCTTCTATTAGCGAAGTCAAGGGAGGCCTCGTCTCAAATTCAATCCCTGAAACCCCATGTCACGCAATCGGTTTCAACCTTCTATTTAATTTAATTTAATTTCTATACATCTATTTCTTCGTTTACCATCCCAGTCCATGCTCGATGTGCGTTTTATATATATATATATATATATATATATAATTCCATCTAATTAATGAGAATAGGGCCGTCCATGATCTATTCCTATTGTGATAGGTCCATCTATATATATAAAACCCTTACAGAATCGGGAGCACAAGTTGGTTTGTAATGAGGATATGTTATATCCATAACCATATCTGGAATTAAGCCAACGCAAAGGGTCGTCTCAAACCATAGATAAAATCTTTCATTTTTTATTTATTACTACATATTTACGCTGAATTGAATACAAATATTTACAATATTCTTGATTTCATTTTTAATTTTTTTTTTACATATTTACGCTGAATTGAATACAAATATTTCATTTTTTTTCTTTTTCTTTTTGGAATTAAGTTTGTTGAACCATGGTTGGTTTGAACAATTGGACAACCCTATCATTTTCTCTTAATTTTTGTTATTAGGTATCCGAGAAAGACCCGATTTCATGTTATTATTGTTGGGAAAACTAGAAACAATCGGACACCAATTTATCCATATCAATTCAGCGGAATACAATTCACAATTCACAAGTTCCAATTCTTTCCCTCTTTGTGCAGTAAAACAGAATCAAACAATGACCAAATATAATACAAATAATCACAAAATCAACACCAAGATTTTTAACGTGAAAAACC